CAAAATTTTTTTGGCAGTTTTTTCAAAAAAATAATCCCGTGAAAACCCCCCCCTCCCCCCCCCCCCCTTTTTTTTTTTTTTTTTTTTAAGTTTTGACCGAGTCTGCACTTTCAGCATCTTGCCAGATTATCTCAGAGCTCTTCTGGGAATACGTGGCTGGAGGACCTTTGTTAAATGAAGGGGTACCACACCATTTAAACTTTAATGGAAAATATATGAGCAACTGAAGTAAAGAGAGTCACCTGACAGTTGAACTCCAGATTTCTATTGCTTTGTTGGATGTAAATTCAATAGAGACTCATGCTGTGAGCTTAGTGTATCAACAGTCAAAGAACATTTTCCATTTCCATGTTTCTAATGAGAATCCAGGCGGCATCTGACTTGCAGTTTCTGATCTGCTGCAAAATCCTTGTCACCTTCGAATCTAAAATACAGACATTCCTCAAAACACAAAAAAACTTTATCAAAGCTTAATCAGTTTTTTAAAACTGATTAAGCTTTCAAAAACTTGAAAGCTTAATCAGTTTTCAAGTTTTTGAAAACTAAAATGCATTTTTTTTATCTCAATAAAAAAAAATGCATTTTTTGTTTTTTTTTGTTGAGATTGAGGCATGTGTAAACCGAGATTTAAAGACAGGCTAAACCTGGACTCATTTATTCATCACTGATTATAAAATGTGTTAAGGAATTATTAGTTGGAATGTGGTGTTAGTGATGGTTTCTCTTATTAGATGATCCCCATGTGTGGATTATCCTAAAAAATTCTGTAACTTTATCTTCAACAGCTAACATTTGTTACAAATACAATAATAGTTGAAAAATATTGTACAACTTAGAACATTTCTAAAGGAATTTAGAATACTCTAGGCAGTTTAGAACCTTATGTATTTATACTTGTGTTTGTTTTGCACAGAAAGTGAGTTTCAGACAGTATTACCTCATGCATAAATTACTGGATGTAGTTTTTTCAGATGTAGTTTTTTCACTGGATATCAAAGTCAAGCTCAAACCAATGTTGTATTTGTATAATCTTCACTTTACAAAGCTTCTGTATTTAGTATAAATTGAGATCAGAACATAAAATTATGAGGCTAACAAGTAGATTTAGAGGGACCAAGATCTAAAAGCTATTTAATTCATTTTTATTCTTACTAACCAGATCTACTTGTCTATTTCTGATGGGACACTTGACATATATGAACATATGCCATTGGCAGGGAAACAGGAGATTGTCATCAGGCCCGTCACATCTTTGTTGTTGTTGGGAACATCACCTTTATGTCTGTCCCACCCCCCCGATCCATGCTTAAAAGGTTACCAAAGGTGAATCCCTTCCTCCAACTTGTCACTTTTCCAACAAACCAGCAATATGGTCCTTAAAGCAGCTGGGGACTGGCGGCTTAAAGTGCTTTCAGTTTGATTATCATAGCCTCCTATATCAGTTTCCTGTGTAAATATTTATCGACTTCTCTGTAAATTGCACTCCAATACAAACATTGCAAGGGCTAAAAAAAAATAATACATTGGTGTTAGCATAAGAAGGTAAGACGTTTTTGAGGTTGTAGTCGTTTTAAGATGGTAAAGATTTTGTCCAGACAGATTGATCAAACCAAAATAACTATGTTTAAACGTTTTTCTTTTCAGTCATAAAGCAACATTTCTGTACCGTGTTGGTTATTACGTAGGTACAAAACATCCCAAGCGGGGTACAAAGTGATGGATTGTCAGTGCAAAATGTCATGCAACAAGCTTCATTTTGTATCTGAACAGTTGGGTGTAAAAATTGTCCATTTTTAATGCCTTTCACAGAGGAGGATCTTTGGTATTGCACCACTTCACACCTCTATTTTCTGTGTGGATGACTATCAACTTCTCTATGATTAATTGTTGAATGCAAACACGACTTTCATTCAAAGATTAATAAAATAGCTTTTGCACAAATCAGTTGGATATTTTTGAGATTGGAGTTTTTTTTTTTAATATGCTAGAGGTCCACTTTGGTCTTGGCCCATCTCCAACTTATCAGCTTTAGCTTTCAGAACCAACTTATTTGGATTTGTACTAAAGCAAGACACTAAGCGAGTTAGGATCTGCAGTTAAAATGTTGACCTATTTTATTTCCTTTTATTGCAATTTATGTGAGACAAATCTTTCCTTGTCTTTCTTCATATTGAACATCTGGTGTTTACTTTCTCCTTCAGTCTCGTCAGACTCCTGAGGGCGAGTTTCTTCCACTGGATCAGCTGGAGCTGGACGTAGGTTTCAGCACTGGGGCTGACCAGCTCTTCCTCGTCTCGCCACTCACGATCTGCCATGTGATCGACACCAAAAGCCCCTTTTATGACCTCTCACAAAGGTCCATGCAAACGGAGCAGTTTGAAATCGTGGTGATACTAGAAGGCATCGTGGAGACCACAGGTAGGCGACAGCATGTTCTACCGTCAGCATGGCCGAAAAACAGAGACAGAGATTGTTTTGGTAAATGTTGCTGCATACAGAGGAAGGTTGTGTTTTTTTTTTTTTTTATGTGCTTTTGCAACAAATCTGATTGGTAATATCGAGCCATTTCATGAGTGTTAACTGCTCAAATGGGCAAACTGGGCAAACTATCGTATTTGATTGATTTTCATTTTTGAGGCAAACACAACAATAAGCAGCTAATAATGAGAGCGATTTTCATCTATTAATAAGGAGGGACAAATTAGAGTTTCAGATTTTAATGGAAAATATTTGCTTTTGAACCCCACAGTGCAATTCTACCGTTTTTTTTTCTTCTTCTTTTTTTATGTGATTTTTCAGGGTTCTGCACTTGGCTGTGTAAAATTTCTTTTTCTCATCAGAAAAAAAAAAAAAAATCCATTCCTCGTTTTTGTGCCTGAACACCGCTGGCTGCTGTTCTCGGAGGGCACAATCATTTGCTTTCCAGGGTCCCTTTGGAGTTACAGAATTTCATTTCCACGAGACTAGTGATGCTGCGAGTAAAACTCCTCTATACGGTCATTTAAAAATTCAATCGTTTATTTGACACAGTTGATAATAAAGTGGCGCACACGGAGCTCCTTTAGTGTTATAATAGTTGTAACGGACCACTTCAGAGGAAATGCAGCATATGGAGATGTGAGAGGATGGTAATTAGCGAAGCAGGCGGGTCCTAGAGATGCATGATGGGGATGTATTGCAGTTTTATTAAAGTTTTATCGTGGCTGAGTATGATCTGACACATAGCGTGGCCCTGCAGCTCAGGCCATGCAGTATTTATGCTGTATCATTCTGCTGGGACCAGACATATTAGAGAAACTAGGTGTATGTTATTAAATTATACTGTGCAGTGTCGTACGTTCAGAGTGGAGTTTTTGATTTATCAAAATGCATTTAGGTCAGTATTAGTTCAGGTAGAATAAAGAATTAAAAAAAGAAATATGGCTTGAAAAGATATTAAAACATTTTTTTTTTCCCATGATCATATTATTGTTACCATTACGCACCATGTCAGGGGTTCATTTGTGGATTTAAACAAAGTTTTATCAAATATTATTCAAAAGCTCAACCACTGACCTCTTAATGAACCACAAATGTTTACTTCTTAATAGAATATTACTGCCATAAATTAGTGGTTTTTTGTGTCATAAATTTAGGGTAATTTACAACCTTTTCAGTGATATAATCATAACATTTTGGTTGTGGTTATTTTTATATTATTCACCACTCTCATATTCTTCATTCTTCAGTCTCACTTTTTTCTATTCCAGTCAAGTTTATTTCTATATTTCACATTTCAGCAAACAAGTAATTCAAACTATTTTACATTACTGTGGCATCATACAGCCATCATTTACAAAACAAGCAATTACCTTTTGCCAAATGTCATCATCAAAATCATCAAGCGGTTACATAACAAGCATGTTGTCTAATGTTTCACTTGCTAGTGATCAAAGGTAAAGAGGTGGTTTTTAAGGCTCGATTTAAAGGAACTCAGTGTTTCAGCTGAGGCAAAACAAGAAGAATACTCAAATAAACCATTTTTGTGATTATAATTGTTCAAAACAATCTGGCCCTTTGAGAAAAAGTTATTGGCCCCTAAACTGCGATGTTTAGGGCTCACTCTTTGTGGCAAAAAGTACCACCAAGCAGGTCCAGGAAAGGTGGATAACTGCTCTACGTTTTCTCCACTGTGGAGCCCCAAAACGTTAGACAGAGCTCAAACCATCTCCAGACTGATAGATGTGTCTTTGGTTCTGATCTATTCTTGAATTTCTTTTGAAAAGGAAGTGATGTGTTCTTCTTTGAGATCTTTTAAGTCGACTTGATATTGTCAGACAGGTTTCATTTATTTTCTTGATTTTACAGTTCTGACAACAATCTGGCCCGGGTGTGGCTTGTGACATTGAGACAAAACTATAGTTAATCACTCAAAATTCATAATTTAGTAAAGCAGGGCAATTAGTTTCCACAACAGATTGAGGTTATTTCATACAGCTTTTTTTTTTTTACGACTGCAAAAGGCATCACTACTGATGACAGAGCTAAAAAGTTGGCGTTTTATTGTGTATAATCATAAGTGCTTCTGAAGTGTAAAAGTGATTGATTTATTAAAGTACTTTTTATGGCATGTGTGATGTTTATTATGTAATTGTAATGCTGAATGTATTCCTAGTGTTAAAGAAAAAAAACAAATTGAGGTTCCATTTGAGAAATATATTTTATAGTAAAACTTAATTTAATATCAATGATTAAAGTGATATATAAATACACCTTTGGTTTAGAATATCAGGAAACCTGTAATTGTGGAATTAATTTGTGATTTAATTCAGATTTAATGATTCATGGGCCTGAAAAAAGTAAGAGACAAGAGTTTCAACCTGTTTTGCATGACCCTTGGAGAAAATCTCCAGGAATGTGAATAGTGTAAGTAGCACATATTTTTAAATAACAGGTCTTTATTGTATGTGCTCTCATGTCTTTCCCCCCCCCCAAAAAAAAAACATCTGAACTTCAGAGCAGCCGCAGTCGTGTGAAAGTTGGTGGAAATGCTGATCTAGAAACAATCTATAGTTAAAAATTGATGTACAGTGAAAGTCTGAATCCTTCGTCGCTCTCATTTCTGGCCAATGTAACTCTGTTTCCATGGCAACCTCTCCTTGAGTATTCAGGATTGCAGCGATGCACTAAACTTAGATATTTTTTTTGTTTCTATGGTATAGGAATCATTACCCAGTTTCAGTAATGAATAAGGCAAATGTGCGATGCTGAATATGAAATAAGTTCGCTGCCTCAACAATGTCGCCTGTTATTTGTGAATATCTTGTCTGAATTACGAAAAGCACTCAGAGGCAGTGCTGGGCCATTAAAAGCTCACCAAAACAGGTGATACAGCAGAGAAAGAATGAGATAAAGCATTTATGAGCCCTGCTTTCTGTCTACTAGAAAAAAAAAAAAAAAAAGCTGTGTAACTAACAGTGTCACTTGTTGAAAAAAATGAGCTAAAATACTCTTATGTAGCAGAGTTTCACCATCGCTTTCTACTGGACGCCAAATGAGAAAATATTTACATTGTGACATGGGACTGCAAAGAGTAATAATTACGACTCTTTGCACACAAGAAAACATAGGAGAATGAAAGAACTCTGAGTTGTCACGCTATGTATAAAAGTCAGAGGAGAACATAATCTCACCTCACCTCCATGATCACCAGTGTGTGCTACATTTTCCAAATGAGACCTGACAGATCATATCTTCACCTAAAATAACAGCACCTGCATCTTTGTGACAGACGTGCAAATGTTATAACAGGAACATAAAAGGCAGGCCCTGAGTCAAAAAGATGTTGGAGAGTAAATTATATTAGTAGGATCCAACAATTTAAATCTTTACAGTTAGTGTTACCAATTTGTAAACTGAATTACCATTAAAGTTACATGTAGTTATTGGGGCAATAAAAATGTAGACACAGCATCTTGCTTTTTTGGGGCTTTTTAGAAAGACATATGACGTCTGTTACAAAAAAAACTCTCTTGTTGGCAATCTGTTTTCCTTTTTATAGCTACCATCTCTGTTAAAAAAAAGGAGCAAGCAAATTTTGCATATCTAGAATTTTTGTCATTATTTTTCATTCATTTTACAGTTCAACCCATAAATTCGACATATTCTTTGTGCATCTAAATTTAAAATGATTTTAATTCAACCAAAATGTTCTAGTAAGATATGGAAAAGGCATCTCAAAAAAGAGAATAATACAATGTTAGAGATTTATTAATGTAAAAAGAAAGGAAAGCAGTATATGGATACATGAATAGTTTTGGTGGTGTTCTTTTGTCATGTGTTATGGATTACATTCTCATGGAGTCTTATCTGTATTCAGTCTGCTCCTCTTCTGCTTGCTGCAAAGTTTACTTTTTAATCATAAGAGACTACCTAATGTTTATTAGCTTTTGTTTGGATAGTAGCTGGTGCTGGTGTTCTTTCCACCATCTCCATGGATGGCATCAGAGTCTCAGCAGTATCCAGACAGCTCTGCTTCTGCCTGTTCTTCCAGAGTGTGAATCACTGACTTCGTTGCAGTTGTTTGGCCTTGTTTCTTTTTTTTTTTGTTTGTTTAGTTTTGTTTTAGTAGCTTCTCTTCAGGCTCCAACTTGAACTGTTTCCTTGTTGAATTTTGCTTGCTTGTCCTCCAGATTTCCACTGCACATTTATGAAAAGTTGTTAGGGGAACGATAGCTGTGGCATGTTCTTGTTTTGATAGATTTAACCTACTGCTTGAAAAGCCTTGAGACCTTCTGGTATTGTGATATGAAATTAATGACTAATGGCTGAATATACTCTCACATTGGTAGTTAAGTGCATGAGTTCTGATGTTAACATAGAGGACTTTCTATGCTTGAGCCACACAGTACACATGCAGTGTGCTTCATGATGTAGTAGTATATTTTCTTTGTGTGCAAACCGGACTACTTCAACATCTTTTATAAGCTTTCAATCTGTTGCTCTTGGCCGAGTTTTTAAAAGAATACTGTTGATATTACAAGACCCTCTTATGTAGTATTTCCATGTTTCCACCAAGCCCAGGGTTAATGGCTGATTAATGTAAATAATGGCAGTGGCAGCAAAACATTGCATAACTCTCGACAGAATGTTTAAGAGCTCCTGGGTTTATTAATCATAGGCATGTCAGATTTTATATGTGCAGTTCATCACATTGCTTTGATGATGTGATTCTCAGAATAATAATACAGGGCTTAAGTGCTGTAGTAAAGAGGTTTGCACTATGTAAAAGAGATGCACTGACCAGGCTTTTACTGACAGATGCTGATTTCCAGTTTTCTTTAGTCCATCAAATCCATTAAAAGAACATGCTGGTTTTTGATGCATTCACTTGCCGAAGGAAGTGGGATCACTTCTCAGTTTTGTGTCGTACAGTTGAG